TGATGTTTAGTTAAAATTATGTGAGTGGATGAGTAGTGAATTAAAGTTGATGTGATGTGTAATAATGATTGGTTGATATTGTTTAATAATATTGATAATATTGGAGATGAGTTAAATTTGAGTTTTGAGTGAGATATTTTACTGTAAAATTCATAAACAATCACGCCCTTAATTTGGAGGGAACGGTTTGTAGTGTTGGACAAGTTTATTTTTGAAATTCAAATTGCCAAACTGAACCGTCGTGTATGTCCTCCTCAGTAACCAAAATTGCTTTTTCCTATATCTATCAAATCACCGTCTCTCGTCTCTCTCATATCAACTCACAGATTTTTCGCATCTCTCTAAAAATTCTTCTAACATTCCATACATGTGTGAAGCTCTCTCTTTCGAAACCATGCCTAAATCTAATCAGGAAACCAAAAAGCCGAAGAAAATATTCCTCCACCCTTTCGACGTTCAACTCGTCAAAGCCAAAGCACTGAAACTCACCAAACCTTACTACCTCCGATATGGCAACTAAAAAAGTTCAACCCTCTGAGCAAGTCGTACCTAGGGTTTCACCGAGCCCTAAGAAGTCCTCCACAACCAAAGCTGTTCAACCGGACGTTGGAGGTACCAGCGAGAAAGGTAGAAAAGAGTCTCCTTCTGTCGCGAAATCTCTGAAGAAGCGAAAGAAAGTACCAGCACCTTCTGGAGGAAAACCGAAAAAAGGCGAAAAAGACCATTCATGTTTCTGAACCTTCTACTGTTGTTGCTTCTGTCTCCAAGTCCAGTGGAGAATCATCTCCGGGTTCTGATGCTGACTCTACGGAGAAAGAAATTGATAATTATGATGGTGAACCTGAAAAATCCGGCAACAATGTTGGTGCTGACAATGAGAGTTCCCCTGCTGTTGAAAAGAAAACCGTCGATGATGCTGAAGGTGGCGGTCCTGATAGCCCTCTTCCTATTGGTAATGCTTTCTCCCGTCAATTTTACTCGACTATGTCTGAGTCTCGCCTTTCCAGTATATTCTCTCAAATGAAATTTCGTCCTGAGATGACGATTGTTAGTGAGCACTTTGAACAACTTGGTTTGCTCGAACTCTTGAAAAGGGGTTGGTCTTGAAGGTTCTGTGACATCTGTTGATATATATTTCCCACAACTTGTGTGTGAATTTTACTCGAACTTGTCTGTCTCTGTGTCTGATCCTGCTTCAATGAAGTTTCATAAGGTCTTTGTGCGAAATAGTATCATTGAGTTCTCTCCGTCTGTTGTAAACTCAATACTTGGTTTGGCTGAAGGTTCTTCTCTTGCTCCTTTAACTAATAATCTTGATGAGATTGTCCACACTTTGACTGGTGGTCAATTGAATAAATGGCTTGCTCCGGAACTCTTTGTGAAGAGTCTCACTCCGCCCGCAAATGCTTTACAGAAGATAGGAGCGTCTAACTGGACACCAACCTCTCACAAACAGTTTGTGACTCCTACTCAGGCTCGAGTTATCTATCGCGTTCTCAATGGTGTTCCCTTTGACATTGGGTTTGTTATTTTTGATGTCGTGGTATCGTTTGCTGAGATCTCCAAGCCCCACAAATTGCTGCTCTATCCGTCTACCGTTTATGTCATTCTCTTCAAGGCGGGCGTCAAAATAGACCCGCGTGTGGGTGATAATTTCTCTCCTACGCTCAAGCCTCTTGCCCTTGTTGGTGTTAAGTCTGCCCCTCCACGACCAACTATTGTCAAGGCCTCTGATGTTCCTTCTCACCTGCGTGGGTTCTTGAACCAACAAGTGGCTGTCTTCTCTGCGCTTGAAAAGAAGCTGGCAGATCAACGAAGGTACTACAAGGAGGTGCTAGGTGCATTGAAGTCACGGGCCCCTTTGGTATCTATATCGAAAAAGGGGAAGATAA